TCTCTGACTTCTTAGTAAGTTCTTCACTCAGAGTTATCTTTAGCTTAGTTTCCATCCTATCCATTATTAATTTTTAATTGGTGAAACTTAGCAGAAAAGTTTTATGTTTTTTTTTAGTTTTCAGGTATAGGGGAAAAATTGTTTAGCAGCAATAACAGTTAACCTTTATATTGCTTTGTCTACATGCCAGGAGTTAGATTCTCTCTAATGTCTAAATTGTATTTTACAAGTAAGTCATCAATAATTTCCTGGAGACATGACAGAAGTCATGACTTTCCCTCAACATTCAACCTTTACACAAGATAGTAGCTGGGAACCAAAGGTAAGTACATCCCCATAATACAGGGGTAGTTATACTGCCTATTAAAGTCTTCTGTATAAGGACATTATAATAACAGTCAAGTATTCCGACAACGAAATTAAATGTTTTATTTCCCAAGAAGTAGGTTTGCTTGTACTTGTGCTTTAAATTATATTAAAAAATTCTTTTTTATAAAAGATTTATTTATTTATGCATACAAGAGTTGGGGTGCAGGCCAGAGATGGGGGGGTAAGAGGATTCACCAGAGACAGAGTGGGGAGCAGAACAGGCAGATCCACCAAAAGTACAGCAGTGTATTTTCGGTGGGAGCAGCAGGCAAGTTAGGAGAGGTCTGCTGCACCATATGGGTCACTTCCCTGGCCGGGGATCAAACTTGTGCTGCAGTGGCTGAAGATTGCTTCATAGTGCTGCATATTAACCCCTTGCACCACCAGGGAGGTCCCCCATGGAAAAATATTCTATTCTGGTCAGGAAACAGAAAGGAAGAAAAATCAAACCTTTCTAAAGACCCCCCTTTTTAATATATTGAACCAAATAATTTATATGTTCTAATTCATTTAAATTATCTGTAGTGGGCCTCCCCTGGTGGCGCAGCGGTTGAGTGCTGGGCTGCGAAGCTGCCCACAACCTCTGCAGTACCGGTTTGATCCCTGGCCGCAGGAGAGGGTCCCACATGGCACTCAGACCTCTCCTGCCACGCCTGCTGCTCCGGTCAGCAGTGTATTTCGTCAGTCTGCCTGTTCTGTTCCCCACTCTGGCTCTGGTGAATTCTCTCACCCTCCCGCGCTTCTGACTGTACCCAGCGCTTGTATAAATAAATAAATAAAATCTTAAAAAAAATAAATTATCTGTAGTGAGAAACTGATTGGGGAAATTAAAAATTAATTGTCCATAAAAAAATTAATTGTTGAGGGTCATCAGTAAGTGGTACTTCTAACATTGAACCCAGGCCTGGCTCCAGAGCCCATGCACATTCCAGGTATTTCACAGCCTCCCACAAACTCTGTTAGCTACTAGACCCCATGCTGTAGTATCAATGACTAGATGCTTTGCCACGTAAGTACTCAGCACAGCCTTGTACCATAATTTCAAATCCATTTTTTATTTACCTCAGTGATCTTTGAAACTACCAGTAGTTTCTGAAACTGTCTGTGGCAGATTGTAAAAATATTTTATAGTTCTTCCTATCAAGAGGGGGAGTCTATATCCTTACTCTTTGACCACATGATTAGCTTTGATTAGAGTTTGGCAGAAACAACATTGTTCTCATCTTGGGTCGTAAGAGGCCTTGCAGCTTTTGCTTTTGGAAACTCTTGGAACTCGCTGCCATCTAATGAACAACCCTGAGGGGAGTCTGATGGTGAATGAGAGACCTGGCAGAAGTGAGATGAGTCATTCCTCCAGAGGGCCCTCAAGCACAGACCTTCCTTGTTGTTGAATACAAATGCACCAATGAACTTAGCCAAGACCAGCACAGAACCACCCAGCTGACCCACAGAATTGTGAGTAGATGGTTGTTGCTTTTAGCCACGAAGTTCTGGGATATTTCGTTACACAGCAAAAGCTAACTGATACACCCTCTTCAACTGGATCTCCAAAGGAGATCCAGAGATTGCTTGCAGTTAAAAATAAATGAGGGTAGGGCCTCCCCAGTGGTGCAGTGGTTGAGCGCTGGGTTGCAAAGCTGCCCCCAGCCTCTGCAGTGCCGGTTCATTCCCCGGCCGCCTGGTGAGGGTCCCACATGGCTCGCAGACCTCTCCTGCCACGCCCACTGCTCCCCTCAGCAGTGTACTTCATCAATCTGCTTGCTCTGCTCTCTGCTCTGACTCTGGTGAATTCTCTCACCCTCCCGCGCTTCTGACCTGTACCCAGTGCTTGTACAAATAAATAAATCTTTAAAAAAAAATAAATGGGGGTAATAAGTAATAATGTAATAATGATTGTATTGAATTCAATTCTGAAGCATGGTAGTTATGTTAAAGATGAACTATTTGATCTTATTGAAGGCAACACAGAAGTTGCTACTGTGGTTTTTCTTCAATGATAAATAAAATACAGTAAGTAAATAAATGAAAAAGGGAAGACCAAACCACCATTAAAAAGCTTATTGACCTTTGCATATTCATACATTCTGCTACCTTCAAGCCTAGTCTGATTTGGTGTTTTAGTTTCCAAAAACCAAATAAGCTGACTTTTAATCTGGTCACTGTCTTCTCCTCTCATAGCCTCATTGAGTCTAGAACAACTTAAAAAACTCTTGTATCTCCTCAGAGTACCTAGAACAAAGCCTTTCTTATATCTTATTTTCACAATAAAATTTCTGAATCTTCCAGTAGCTTTTGAAACAGTGTAATGACAGCCTTGGAAATAAAATTTGGTAACTTTTGTAAAGGATGGAAGAAAGCCATGCTTACCGGCATCCCCAGAACTTATGAGATTTAGTCCTTGAGTTTCAACTACATTGCTTTTAAAAGCACTTTTATTTTTTTTCTTTTTTTCCTTGGGGCCTTTTTTTTGGTGGGGGGGGGCTTTTGTTTTTACTGGGGCACAGGAATGGATTGAGAAATGTCACCATGGCATATATCCCATGAGGGAAACATTCATTCTAATCTTCCTGGGATAGTTTTTGGAGCTTTTTCTTTTTCTTGGAGCTGTTGCTAAAAGCACATTCTAAGTCTTGGGAGAATTTCAGGCCAAGTATAGGACCAGCAATTTAAATATGTACAAAAGGTTTCTTGGTCTATACTTCCTGAGCACTGCTGAATTACAAAAAATTAGAACAAGTCTACATCTTACATGGAAGGTGCTTAAACATGCAATAATGATGAATTCTTATTATTGCTTAGTGAAAATTTCATTGGAACCATAATTCTGGAACACTGTATCATAGTTTTGAAAAGTTCATTTCATTGAAAAAATAGGCCTTATCTGTAAAAGACCAAAGTTAACGTGTGAAAATTGAATTAAATATTAAAGCATTTTCCTTTTTATATCTATTTTTGGTAATGTAAACTCAACCTATAACTCAAAAAATTTTTCAAACAAGTGTTCAAGTTCAGGAAATAATACAACTCTATTTTAAATGCAAATCAGTGTTCCATTATAATAATTGCCATCAATTAAAAAAGACTGGGAAACCTCCCTGGTGGCACAAAGGGTTAAGCAGCAGTACTATGAAGCTATCTGCAACTACTGCAGCACAAGTTCGATCCCCGGCCAGGGAGCTGACCCACATGGCACAGCAAACCTCTCCTGCTGGCCTGCTGCTCCCCTCAGCAGTGTATTTCAGTCAATCCGCCTGTTCCGCTCTCCACTCTGTCTCTGGTAAATTTTCTCACTCCCCACACCTCTGGCCTGTACCCCAGTTCGTGTATGCATTAATAAATAAATCTTTAAACAAAAATAAATAAATAAATAAAAAGGACTGAAGCACGAAAAAGCAGTATCTTTTGCAATGACCCTGCTTAAAGATTCTAGAAGTAAACTTGAAATTTAAAGTTGCTAAGTCAATTGAATTGCCAAAAAAAAAAAAAAATTTCTAGCTGGTGCCTGAGTTGAATAATGGTTACTCAAAAATGCTGTGGCATCATCAACTGGACACTGGCCATGTGCACCTGCAAACTCAGGTGGACAGAAGAGGCACAAGTCACTTTTGGAAAAATAAGGATGACCTCCAAGCTGATTATGAATATTTTGCTATATTTGGGATATAAGTTGATGAGAGAAAAATTAATGGATCCAGGGCCCGAGAGTGTCACATGTGTGACACGGAAGCCACTGTACTCTCTCAGGGGTTTGAAATGAGTGTTCTCCGTAGCCTAATGGGGCCTCCAATGGGGTCCACTGCTTTTCAGACCTGGCTCTTTTCTTAATTCCTAGGTGATGTTAATTTCATTCATTCATTCACTCAAAATACGCTAAGTGTCTATTATACTAAGTGCCATCTCCTGTCAGATGATTTAATATGTCTCTATCTGAAAAAGAGGAAAAGAAGGAAGCAGAGAAAAATTATTTAAGGAATTGCTTAAGCCATGCAATAAATAATAAGTATTTCCTAAAAACATAGATATGGGGCCTCCCTGGTGGCACAAGGGGTTAAAACGCAGCACTATAAAGCAATCCACAACCACTGTAGCACAAGTTCGATCCCCAGCCAGGGACTTAATCCACATGGTGCAGCAGACCTCTCCTGTTTCACCCATTGCTCCCTTCAGGAGTGTGTTTCAGTAGACCTGCTTTATCTGCTCCCTATTCTGTCTCTGATGAAACCTCTTACTCCTTGCAACTCTGGTCTGCACCCCCGCTCTTGTATGCATAAATAAACCTTTAAAAAAATAGATATATTTGTGCTTCATTTAGAATAAATTAAGTAGGCCTCCCTGGTGGTGCAAGGGGTTAAGACACAACCTACGAAGCAATCTGCAACCACTGCAACATGAGTTCAATTGCAGGCTAGGGAGCAACTCACATGGTACAGCAGAACTCTCCTGACTTGCCCGCTGCTCCCCTCAGCAGTGTATATAAGCCAATCTGTCTGTTCTGTTCCTCCCTCTGTCTCTGGTGCGTCCTCCCAGCCCCCATGCTTCTGGCCTGTACCCCAGTTCTTGTATGCATAAATAAATAAATTTTAAAAATAGAATAAATTAAGTGAAAAATGAAAAAAATCTTTTACTGGTACCTGTATCCCAATTCTTCACTAAGATGGATCATATGAAGGATATATGATTCCTTGCTTGTTCCAGTGAGGCCAGGCAACAGTAAGATAGTAGGTCTAGTGCTGGCATCCATATAACACTTATTGTTATCGTTATCAAACCAGTCCAGTGAAATCTGTCCTCCATCTGCAGTTTTAATAAGTTCACTGAAAGAAATAATTCAAAAGACATTACATACTAAGTGTTCTAAGTCATATCTTAACATTAATGTCTCAATTCTATAAATTTATGACATTTGATCATCTCAAAATAACTTTTTTTGATGTTCACTAACACATGTACTTATTTCACTTTTATTATAGAAACTTTATGAAGATCAGCACCATAAAATATTTCCAGCAACTTCAGTAAAAGATAATATATAAAAATGAACTTCCAAATACTTCAAATGCTTATTTAATCATTTCCTTATATCTCTAAAATACCCAGCAGTTAACCCCTATTTGATTGAGGTCACCCAAATAATTCAACAGAGAATTATGAATAAGTAAAACGCTGACCTATCGCTGATCTTGCTCTCTATTCATGCAGTCCCTCACTTTGTAAAGTGTATTACAACATTTGCTTCCTTAACATTTTAAAGTACTTCTCACACAGTATCTATGAAGCTATACATTTTTCCCAAACAAAATCTAGGCAACAAAAGGGATTCCAGAAAGACTAGATGACTCAGGGAAATTAATAATAGGCACCATTTAAATTTCTTGGTTACTGATATTCTGGGTCATATTTTAAGCATTTCAAGGACACGATCATCAAAAACCTATCTGCTTATCAATATGAAGACTTTAGAGTTCCATTACACAAAATCCAAATTCATTGGTATTCTTCTGGTCCCCACCACCACCATTCATGAACTGGTGCACATCATCAAAGGATTTTGGTCCTGGGGTCAATGCATGACAAATTGGCAAACAGTAACTCCCAAACACTCCCCTCATCCCAGTAATAAACATTTTACATCAGGACACAGGGTGGAGGTGGGGGTGGGGGTGGGCGGTATGTAAAACAGGGAAAATCAATGCCTGAATATTTTCTTTCAGCTGGATAAGGGAGCTGTATCTTCCACTTTCACGTCCCCTTTCTTTTTTATATACTTACTAAACCAGAGGTTTCTATTAACCGAGAACTGGGAGTATCCAAAATACTGTGGCTTTGAAGAAATGACTGAAAATGTCAATGTACTTACTTCCTGTACTGCACCGGGGGCTTAGACGTGATGAAAGGTCTCAGCAGTGTCTGTCCTCGACTCTCCCAGCACCAGACTGTCGGGTAGTATGTTTCGGTCACCACCGGACAGTGGTCCTGAAGGAAGCGGTTGAAACTCTCACCCCCCGTCACTAACTGGGGCTTCTGTTTGGGAAAAACAGCATTAGTGAAGGATCCAGAACAGAGCAAAGTTTCTGCTAACCATAAACGACAAATGAGCACAAACTTGTCCCCATCGCGCGCGTAACCCGTTGGGTTACATTTCCTTTTGGAAGCCTAAGGCAAATCACAATCACAGTGGACTTAAGAAGTGTTTACTTCATCAGCCCGCTGGAGAGGAAGATGAGAGTTGAGATAAGGGAACCATTCGGAAAAGTGCTACAGCACTGCCGAGCAGCACTGTTGCATTAGCGAACGGTGGCAGGGCAGCGCCACTCGCGCGGAGAAATTGGGGTTTTTGAGCTGCGGTTCAAGGACCCGGACCCGACCCACGGGCAGTAAGTCAGGGGCTGGTCAGCTTTCCCGCGCGCGCTCCAAGGGTGTCCATCAGATGCCGGCAAAGGTCAACAACTCTGGAGCACTAAGGTCGCCCTCAAGAGCGCCCCAATCATTGCCAACTGCCCAGCCCGGTTTCGCTCGCTGCTATCGCTCCTGGCAAAGCCGCCCGCGGCCCAGCGCCTTGGCGCCCGCTCCACCCCCCGGCTCACCTTGGCAATGCTGCTCAGGTAGTAGCAGGCATAAGCGACGCTGAAGCCTAGGATCAGGGATAAGCCCACTCCCGAACCGAAGAATCCAACCCGGACTTGGTGCTCCAGGTAGAGGGAGAGCTCCCGGGAGAGCATCCGCAGGTCCATGGCTAAGCTCTGCATAGCCCGGGGAGCGCGACGCTCGGGTACTGCGGCGGGCGCCCAGCCAGCAGGCAAGCGGGCTAGGGCGGCAAGGGGACCGCCACTCTGCTATCCGGCGAGAGCCGGCGCGACGTCGCGGCGGACCCTCCACCCGAGCGTTTGCGGCCGGACGGAGCGCGGCTTCAGCCAACGGGTGCGGCCGAGCGGCCCCGGGCGGCGTAGCCCAGCCCGCTGGACGCCGCCGGCTCCGCCCCGCCTTCTCCGGAGCCGCCCCCGCCGCCAGCCACTCAGGAACCTTCCAGAGGCGGGGTTCCAAGCTCCTCCACACGGCTGACTGCGAGGGGTCTCCTGACCGGTCGTAGTCTGCCGGGTGCACCCCAAGAATGGGGCAAGAGCGGCCTCCGACTTCGGAAAAGGAGCTGGGCCTTGCAACACGCTCAGGTCTCGGGGCGGGCACGTGCCCGGGTGACCTTGAGCTATTGCGCACCGGGGAGGGTCTCGGTAAATCCTTCCCGTAAACTACCGGGTTTGGCACTCAGGAAGTGTGCCTTGGATTGAGGTACACTTAATCCAAGATTTGGGGGTGTTAATGCCAGAGATAGGTTTGGAGAATGCACTACTTACTGAAAGTATCCTACATTCCCCGGGAAGTTGTGTTGCCTCCAAAGGCTGTAAGATTCAACGTCAGGACATTGATAGTTTGCTTTAAATCTCTCTGTAAATCCTTTTAGTAGCCAACGCATGCCTTAAGTAAGAAGACATATCGAAAATAAGTGAGAAGATCAAGAATAGGAACTGGGATTAAAACAATTCTTAAGTCTGTTTATGGTTCATTTATGTTCTGGCTTCATAGACTTAACGGGAATTTACAGTCACCTAATGTACAGACAACAAACCATTTTTGAAATAGGTTCTCCTAGACTTCCTTATGCCCACATGATTAAAGCCCGAGGTAACATATCTGAAGGAGTTAAAAAATTTATTATGGGGGCCTCTTTGGTGGCGCAAGGAGTTAAGACAGCACTGTGAAGCTATCTGCAGCCACTGCAGCAGGAGTTTGATCCCCCCGCCAGGGTGGTGACCCACATGGCACAGCAAACCTCTCCTGACTCGCCCGCTGCTCCCCTCAGCAGTATATTTCATCAGTCTGCCTGTTCTGTTCCCCACTTTGACTCTGGTGAGTCCTCTCACCTCCCCCCATCTCTGACCTGTGCCCCAGTTCTTGTATGGGTAAATAAATCTTAAAAAAAATTATGTTCTGGGCCTCCCCTGGTGGTGCAGGCAGTTGGGTGCTGCGCTGTGAAGCTATCCGCAGCCTCTGCAGCGTGGGTTGGAGCCAGGTCGGCCAGTGAGATACCCACATGGTACAGCAGACCTCTCCTGTCTTGCCCGCTGCTCTCCTCAGCAGTGCATTTCATCAGTCTGCCTATTCTGTTCCCCGCTCTGTCTCTGGTGACTCCTCTCACCCTCCTGCACATCTGGCCTGTACTCCCGTTCTTGTAAAAATAAATAAATCTTTAAAAAGTGTATGTTCTGCTATCATCCATAGATGCCAGGAGTGGTGAGACTTCAACAGGCTACAGGGAAAAGGTAAGGGTTCGTATAGACTAAAATAATTTACAGGATTCTAAATTAAAGATATAAATTAATGACAGGGAAATGTGATGGGCCTAAAGTGAGCAATTTATTTGATCATTACAACTTGATGATTGCCAGTATTGAGAATAACTCATTACCTTTCCTCAGCCTGTTTTGTTTTTCATCAGCAGAATATTAATTGTTGCATTATGGTTGGGATGATTAAATCAAATAGTGTAAGAATCTCCCCTGAACATAAGTAATTCTCTTTCACTCAGTGACTTTTGCTCCTGAGTACACAAATATTTACTCTGGTTGCCATGCTTGACAATTTATACTTGACAATTTATATATAACATTCTTTATAATGCCTTACCTGCCTTCTGCCTGGTCCAATAAATACATATATATTTCATTTTACTTAACCTTAGAGCAAAAACATAAAGTAAAATAAATTACTTGACAGGCATCACAGTGCATAGAAAGCAAGCTAACCTTGGGATCAAAACCAGCTCTGAACTCATCCACCAAATTTAGAAAAATCATTTACTCTTTTCCAAGCTTCAATTCCTTGTTTATAAATGAGATGATTGGGGTGGAAGGTGTCCAGGTTTCCTTTTTGTTAGACAAACATTCATATTCTTCCTTAAAATAAAAAGTATTGGTTCAAATTTACATGAGGAAATAACTCAGACCTTAACATAACCTCCAATGATCTCTTCCTCCTGTAATCTATGCCTTTGTATAGTCCTTTCCCCTTAATTGTAAGTGGGAGCTGTGTCTAACCAATAGAATACAGAAAAAGTGATGTGATGTCAACACTCCTATGATTATTGGGTTATATGATTTAAGATTAACAGACTAGAGCTAGAGACTCCTTCTCTCCTGCATGCCTTGAAGAGGCAGAGTCATATGAACTGCCCTTGAAGAGGTCTCCATAGCAAGGAACTATTGGGATCCACTAGGAAAACATAGTTTCTTAGTCCTACAATTGCAGGGAAATAGGCCAACAAGCTTGATAGCAGATTCTTCCCAGTCAGGTCTTCAGATGAGATCACAGCCTGACTGTTAGCTGTGGCCAGGCTCTGAGATCCTGAGTAGAAGATTCAACTAGCTGTACGTAAACTCCCAACCTTATAAATTGCTAAATAACAAATGTGTTGTTTTAAGCTGCTAAATTTGTGGTAATTTGTTATGCAACAACAGGAAACTAATAGAAAATATTAAAAGGTTCCAAAAAACCATTCAAAATTAGCAAATCTTACTGCTCATGTTTGCCTATTGATATATTTATTAATGTCTTTTTTTTAAGATTTATTTATTTATGCATACAAGAACCGTGGTACAGGCCAGAGGTGTGGTGGGTGAGAGGATTCACCAGAGTGAGGAACAGAGCAGGTGGATTGACTGAAATACACTATTGAGGGGAGCAGTGGGCAAGACAGAAGACGTCTCCTGCACCATGTGGGTTAACTCCCTGGCTGGCCAGGGATTGAATTCATGTTGCAGTAGCTGGCAATAGTGCTGTCTTTAACACCTGTGCCACCAGGGAGGCCCCTGAATATTTTAAATAAGTTGAAGTTTTAAGCTTTCAGAAACCATTGAGAAATTGGTTTTTCTTTGCACTTCTCTTGTGTAATTGTCACAATAAACGTTTATTATTTATTAAATAGTGAAAAGTCTTTTAAAAGAACAAAGTTAGGGGCCTCCTTGGTGGCGCAAGGGGTTAAGATGCAACCTATGAAGCTCACTGCAGCCACAATGGCACAAGTTCGATACCCGACCAGGGAGGTGACCCACATGGCACAGCAGACCTCTCCTGACTCGCTCGCTGCTCCCCTAAGCAGTGTATTTCAATCTGCCTGTTCTGTTCCCCACTCTGTCTCTGGTGAATTCTCTCACTCTCCAAAACTCTGGCCTGTACCCCAGTTCTTGTATGTATAAATAAATCTTTAAAAAAAAAACCAACACAAAGTTAACTGCAAAGAAGTCATATGAAAAGATATATAGCTAAAGAAAGGCCAAAACATTCTAAGATATAATGGAAGACAAATTTTAAATAGGAACACATCTTCACAAATTTTGTGTAATATACTCTGGTTCCTTTGTTAAGGAAAGGTATTTACACACTAAGATCTGTTCACTAGGCGTGTTCGTTGTTACTGGGTATTATTTAAGCCCTCTTAACTGATAACTCCTAAGTATTAGAATACACACACACACATTTCTGTGTCTATCCATTTGTATTTATATTAAGTTTAACGTGAGATCAGAGTATAATTCTTTTATGTGGACTCCTTGAGGTTCTTCTTTTTCCTAAAGATTTATTTATGCATGCAAGAACTGTGGTGTAAGCCAGCGATGGGGGTGGTGGTGAGAGGATTCACCAGAGACAGTGGGGAGCAAAGCAGGCAGATCTACTGAAATACACTGCTGAGGGGAGCAGTGGGGCAAGGCAGCAAAGGTCTGCTGTGCCATGTGGGTTGCTCCCGGGTGGCCAGTGTAGGGGCAGGACAGGCCACTGAGCAGGTTTTCTGATCCAGTAGACCGGGTAAAGGAGGAGTCAGAGTCCTCAGTGGCTTTTGCAGGTCTTTTATTTAGATTTACTGGGCATATAGCAGGCAGGGGTGCTGGGGGGCCAGGAGGTTGGCAGACCTCCCAGCCCCCAGCAAGTCCTCACTCTATCTGGGCTCTCTCGGCTTCTGTTCGTTCTTGGCTTCTGCTGGTGTCCCCCTGACGCTGACCTTATAAACTCAGTCTCTCAGCCCAGGTGTACCCACTTCAGGTGCCCGCCATCAGGCATGCATTCAGGACCACAGGGTTCCCTCATTTATCCTAATGGTGGGAGGGCAGAAAAGCCTGAAACTTTTTCCTTACCCTACACCAGGGATCGAACTTGTGCTGCAATGGCTGGGTATAGCTTGATAGTGCTGTCTCTAACCCCTGCGCCACCAGGGAGGCCCTTCTTGAGTGTCTTTAGGGAGAATTAAATCTCATAGTAATGTTTCTGACTTTTTTCGTTAATTTGAATAAAGCAAAAAATTCCATATGTAATAGGATACACTCCATATCCTTATCTTCCTCAATTATATGGCAAATAATCAAGAGAAATTAGTTAGAAACCTAATAGAAATTAGTTTTATGGTTACAGAGAATGTCAGAACTAAAAATCCAAAGACACATACTTAATAAAACATAAATTATAGGTTACATTTAATTTTTTTTTTTTTTTGGTGGGACCCTTGCTGGCAGAGGCCGCGAAACAAACCGGCGCTGTAGAGTCTGCGGGCAGCCCCGCAGCCCAGCGCTCAACCGCTGCGCCACCAGGGGAGGCCCAGGTTACATTTAATTAAAAAAAAGATTGTAGTACTATCTGGAGTGTTATAAAAAAATGTGATTGTCACCAAATTATTTATTAGTAATTCACTGTGATCTTCAGCTCCTCAATTCTAATACTGTCATTGTGTAACAGGGTGGTCCCCAGGAAAGGGGGAGGTTCCCTGCCCCACCCAAGGGAGGGT